ATTACCTTGTAATAGATATTCTTCCCTGGGGGCGCGCACCCCGTGGCCAGGATATGGTCGTAGTTACGATGGTCAATGACCATGACACCGCCTGGGCGCACCATGCTTGCAATATTCCTAAGTGCCATCTTATGATCGCTTTGGTCACCTATGAGATGGGGCGGAGTTCAGCTACACTGCTGTGAGCTGTCTGAAAGCCCCTCCCTCCCCAGTGCCTGCACTCCCCTCCCAGGGTACTCTGCTCCAAAGTAGAGCAAGCTGCACTCCAGAGATCTCCTGGCAAGACATGTGGGCCTCGCTTCCAACCTCTTGCTGGGCCCTCTGTGTTGCCTCAGCTGGTTTAAAGGGGCCCTCCAGGAACAGCACTGGCATAGTGGGGTTGCTGGACAATGCATGGCCAGTGGGATGGGCCAGTGCTCCAGGGAGAGGTGGCTGGAATGCACGGTGCAGACAGCCCATTACAGCTCCTGGCAAGTTAGAGCAGCCCCAGAATCCTTAAGGTGCTGCAATTGTGCAGAAAAACCTTCCCTCCTCTTCCCCATTCCTGAACATCTATGGCTATGCCTGCATTGCACTCAAGGTGAGAATGTAGCATGTGCAGCTGTGCCAGTCAGTGCACAGCTGACAGCAGCAGGGGCTGCACAAACCCAGTCAGGACCTTGGGTATGTTGGTGACAGTGGCTGTCCCTGCTGTGCACAAACCAACTGCATGAAAACTTTCCTGGACTGTAGGATGCAAGACAGATGGGCCCTGGGGACATCGGGACTGGTCTGTGCAGTTGAGGTGCCCTGTGCCCGTCTCCAGACAGGCCAATCAACCAAGCCTTGGGCTGTTGAGCTCACCTTTGAAGTCAGGTAGATGCGCGAAGGAGTTCCCTAGGCAGATGACAGCATCAAACCCATCTCCAGGCTTCTTCACGTCCCTCTCCAGGGTAAGCCAGTTGGCCTCCTCAATGACTGCCCCCAACAAGAGCTGGTTAGGCATGCAGAGGCCCTGCTGGCTCTGAGTTGGTCTCAACATGCTCATCCCCGCTGCCCACAAACACCACTCCCTTGCCCCCCAGCACAACTCAAGGAAGGGCATCCCCTTTGCATGACTCATGCCCTTGCTGTGCCAGAGAGAGAGCATTCACTGCCTCCATGCCTGGCACAGACAGGGCCCTAGCTTGTGGCAAACTGAAGTCTGGTTGCCACAGTCAGTGGCAGTGTTAGATTTTCTTATCATTGCTCAGTGCCCTTTGGTGGGCTGCAGGGGCATTGTTTCCATATGAGAAATGGGCTCAGAGGAGCTGGCACTGCAGTGGGGTGAGGAACTGGGGTATGCACTTTCAAGGCCCCCATTACAAGCACCGAGAGTCACTTTCCAAGTGCCTTCAGTGGCAGGGGGATAAACAGCATGTGTCTGCAGAAGGTCTCACGCTGGGAAGTGTGGGACAGAGAACAATCCTGCAGAGATCTGCAGGGATGGAATGGCAAAAGAAAGCTCTGCCCAGAAAGGGCAGATTATGACATTTGGGGGAGTAACATGACATCTAGGCAGGGGAGCCTGGGCTTTAGCAGGCTGCCATGGTGAGCTTGCAGTGGGCCACAGGGATGAGCCGCAGGATGTGCCTGTGGGGTTCTGGATGCCTCATGAAGGGGCATGATGGCCCCTGATACCAGCAGGTAGTTCTTACCTGTACACCCAGGGGTTCCCACTGCCACCTCACCCCCAGACAGACTGCGAAGAGCCCAGACCTAGAGTGACTGATTTACAAAGGGAAATTAAAGGTATCCATGCAGGGACACAACATGGAGCTTAGGCCCTCTCATTGCTCTACAGTGGAGAAAAGCAATGACAGCTCTGTTTTTTTGAAAAATCTTGCCCGTTTTGCCTTAGAAATCTCAGGAGTGCTGCCTTGGTCTTTCAGGGACTCCCTGGGATTTCTGCAGTCTGGGCTGGCTGCTGTCAACCCTCCCCTAAAACATCAGGGTGGGGAGCTGTTCACAGGGACACCCTCCCTGCTGTCTGTTTAGGCCTTTGGCTTCAATTAGTAGGCCTGTGTGAGTTGGCAGCGATCCAATTCGGCTTCAGATCTGTCCGCGATCCGATTCGGAGCTCTGGACTGGGTTTCCGCCTCGATCCAGCCGAAGCGGCTCCGAAGCTGCCTCAGAGATCCAGGCATAGGGGATAATGGGGGAATC